ATATATATATATATATATATATATATATATATATATATATATATATACATAAAACAACCACAGACAGTGGTGCTTTAACTTTAGACTCGAAGAAGCAGAGCGTTTGTTGCATCACAGAGTACTTCAAGTATGAACTTGTGCTGTCAATTATGGTAAACATACTCCTTATACAAAGGGGAGGGGGCATTTGTGTGTTTCTATTGGCTCGCAGTTATTTGCTCCCTCCTCACGGCCCTCCTTCATGCTGTTCCTATGGTTCCCAGATCTCTTATTGGGTACTGTAAAGTTTGGGATAGGACACGAGTCTGGCTTAGCATCCTTTACACTATTAGCTGGATCCACCTGTCTGTCAACCGGACTGTGACAGACCGCCCCGCCTACTTCTCTGTAGCGGCGACGCTGATTGGCTACTGTACCTGTCAGCGACCTCTGATTGGTCGGTTCGCCCAGCTGTTAGTGGTTCATTCACCATTTTGAGACGGTAGTGGAAAAGGAGACCGATAGTTTTTTCATATCCCCGTTTGAGTTTCTGCGAGGGGAAAGACATGTTTTGGCGGAGGAAAAGTAAAGCGCGAACCCGCTCCGCGAAGTCCTCGAAGCCGACGGCGAAGAGGGACGTTACCGAGAGTTGTTCGAGTCTCCCCATCGACAAAATAAGACCATAAATCTTTTTTTTTTTTCTGACGAGAAAGGGAAAGGCTCTGTTGTTGGTGAGTTGAAACTAAGTTAGTAGGAGGGTAGCGAAGTCAACTTGACTCGAATTTTCCATGTTTTCGAGAGCAGCGAGTTAGCAAAAAAAAAAAGGAAACTCAAACCAACGGTCGAGTGTTCTTCAACGGTCCGAAGGAACGGAGTGACAGGGCTTCCGAGCCGAGGGGGGAAAAAACAGAACCAGGGGAAAGCGTGAGAATATAACAGCCCGACAAAACTTTCTGAAATGTTTCACCGCAGTCCCACAAAATCACTAAAGCCTCCCTCGGTTAGTTTTACGGTCGTGTCATCGCCGAAAATCACTTTTTCCTCGTCCGTAGTTGTCGAGTTGTGCGCGGCGTAGTAAAAAGACAAAAAAAAAAAACCCGACCTATTTGTTTGCAGCACTGCAGTCCGTGTGTTTACATCCACGGACGAGTTTTATTAAAATATATTTAAAAAATTGCAAATGGCATTAAATATGAAAAGAGTGCGAAAATCTTTTTTTTTAATTCTTGTGACGTGTATGTGAGCATCCTCTTGCTCTGCTCTCCTACTACGTCTACTACAACCAACACTACTAATGTTGAGCTGCTTACTAGAGCGAAAACACGAGCAGATTCCTGCTTTTTTCCAAGTTTTTTTTTTTTAAATTATATAACTATTTAATGTCCTTTTTGGCATCATAAGGCTTCGCTTGTGTGCTTCCGTGTGTTTCTTCGGGCGTTGCAGGGAATATTTGCATGCCAAACGTTAATTGAATAGTGAAGGATTACGTTTGCAATTAAACGTGACTTTAAACCGGTTGTTTGTGTTTGTTATCTGGCTTCATCTTGCACAGAGGAGAGCCCAGCTCTGCCTGGAGTCGTAACACTCCTTTGACATTGCGTGGCGTCTTTCATTCGTAGTACTCACACAGATCCGCGCAGAGACTCGGTGTTTTCTCGGCTCTTCCCTCTCCCAGACTCCACATTTACCCTCGACTATCCTGCAGTCGCATTCCATGACATCTCTGACAGCTTTTCCTGCCATGCTCACCTCCACCTGTCCATACGTGGTCAGTCAGAATGTTTTAATTCTTGTTTATTTAACAGCATCCTGGTCTCCTGCATGCTTCCTCCCTCTTCGTACCCTTCATTGTTGCTCCTGTGTGGTCCTGATGGTGCCATTTGGGTCCCAACAGGAAGAGTCACCTCATCTAAGCCCCCTATAAGTCCTGATCAGTTGTAGCCCAAGTGCGCAAATGTCAGCTTTTTTATTCATATATTTCTGTAGCTGTCCTTTAAACAGCTGCAGGTATATTATGGTAAATATGCTGTCTTTCACTTGCAGGCTCGTCCTCACCTAAAACACCGTATTCTTTTATTTGTATAATGTTGTCGATGCAGTTATCACCCACTCGCTCATGAGCTAAACAGAAGCGTGTCAGTTTGTTGCATGAAAGCATGCTCTTTTTTCTTTATTTTGCTGTTTCATGTGTGAGCATGTTCCCCGATGACCCAGTTAAGGGCAAAGCCGCCCTGCCATGCTGAAGAGTACAAGGAGGGCCGACGTGCATCAACATCACAGCTGCCCTTCTGTCCTCGTCTCCCGCAGCGCCACACTTTTCCATCCCTGTCCTCATCACTGCAGCCCTGTGCCCAGACAGAGCAGAACAAACACCCCATAAAATGCTTTTAGGCAAAGGGATGAGCTGCAGCGTTATTCGCTCTCATACAATGTTCCATGAGGTAGGCACAACCTGAAAACAGCTATAGCTTCAAATATAATGCCCCTAACGCACAACCTGTGCCATGTTGCTGTGAGGCTCTTTGATAACCTTAATAAAACTGTCGTATGTTTATTAGTCGAGTCATAGTCGAGTAATAAATACCGTGCAACTTAATTTTCTCGTGGCAACACAGAGATGAGGCGACCTCATAAATGCTTGCATGCACCTATACCTCCACAAGAAAAACTTAGTTATTTGCATGCAATTATTTCTTTTTAACATTACTATATATATTATCACATTTGTTTTTATTTCCTTACACAGATATGCAAACATTCCTGTGAGTGTGGGCGAGTGTTTACACGGCAGACAGAATGTGTGAGTGTGTGATGAGATTTCAATGGTGTAAAGGAGAGCTTTTAGTGTGTGTGTAAAGTTTGGTGTCACTATGGAGGACGCTTACATTATGAGGCTGGTTACATTATCCTGCCAGTTTATTGGGCCAAAACAACCCCCTTTTTGCTCTTTAAGTGGAGTCCAGTCCAGCGCCATGGAGATGGTGATTATCTGTCTATTCAAGATTTACACTCGCTTTAGATCAGAGCAGCAAGTTCGTCCCAAGCCGCCTCTAAAAGCTGGACCGTGTCATGGATTGCCTAAATTACGATTCAGACCAGAGAACAATCAGGGCTTGGCAGCGTTTCATTTTTGCAAGCAGATTCTTAACTGACAACTTGTGCACTAAATTATCACCCAGGAGTGTGTTTTTTTTTTAAAACACATTCATATTTATTTACTAAACGTGATGAGTTAAAGGTCAGCTGTTGTTTTCATTTTTTAGGATGCTTGTTGACCTTGAGTGTGTACTTGTTTTGACCTTTCAGGGAATACACCATCTGAAACGTTTCGATTTTCTACCCTTCATCATACGTGGGATTTACAGATAGTTCATGCTTATATTCATACACTTTTCCCTGTAATTTAATTTAAAATGTGTGTTTTTGGCACTAGTGGTATTTTCGCAGTTTCGTTAAAATGATGTAATTAGGAGGGTTGCTTTTACACACACACATAGAGAAAAAGAATACGTTTGCAGTTACAGCCATTTTGTGACGAATATTGTCGTGCACAAGATGAACACTTGAACAAAATGCATCGCTCTGAAAATAAGGAGATTGGTCTATTATCTAGTGCACATCGTGTGCTGTACCGTCCAGTACTGTTGCTGTTTCAGAACAAATACAGAGACATGCCAGCCACTGGCTTATCAGCCAGAGTGTAGAGCGTTTTGAAAGGCCTCAAGCTTGACCAAACACATTTTTTAGCCTAAGATCAGACCCTCACAAGTTATTTAATCAACTTTCCAGTCAGCCATGTGGTTCTGACTCTTTATTCCCTTTTCCAGCTTTCTGAAGTTGGTCTACAAGACCAGCACACCCAGTCCAGGCCCCAGGGTCTCCTCTAATGACGGGGTACTTGTTCTGGGACTGGATGGAAGTGCATTCTTGCAGTCAGAGTTTTTGATTTACTTTTCCAGTGTTTGTCAAGGATAAACAGTTTACACATCTACCAAAATCTTCAGTTGTGACAAATTTCTGGAACTAGAGGCAAAGAACATACTGTGTTGTTTTTACACATTTATCTTTATTTAGGTTTTGCTAATGTAAAAACACAGCATGGTCTGCTAACTGCAGCGTAATAGCTTGATAATATAAAAAAAATCTTTATGTGACTCATTTCCCTTAAAATCTTTGACAGATCAAACTTTTTTAACTAAATGCTGAAAAACCTCTTACATATTTATGTTGACTCAAACATCCATTCTCTTTAGATAATGGTTTCATGGTTAGTATTTCATTTGGAGAGATATAAATGAAGTTGTTTTCAAATTTGCAGGACACTTATTATTTATTTATTTATTTTTGCAAAGCTACAGAGCTGTTATAGTGATGTAATAAGCTGTGGTATCACAGCTGATGTATGCATTAGCAGTTTCTCAGCAAAAGTAATTCTGATTTGTCTATTTTATTTTATGCATTTACAATATTTAACAAAATAATGTTGGTGATACGGTGATGATTGCATGAAAGAGTGTTTTTATTTCAGGTCCAGAATGATGTGTGTTTTTGTACAGCAGGAAGTGGAGTTGGTGTGTTACTCATTTTAATTGTTATACGTTTAACAATCAGGTCACCCTCTGTGTGTGTGTGTGTGTATGTGTTTGTGTATCAAACTGTATTTTCAATGTCAGTGTCTGCATAAATCCTGCAAATTAGTGTGCCTGTGTTAAAATCTGCTTTTGTAGGAATTGGGCATTTACACATGTTGGTGAGTTGCTGAGTCTAATCGAGAGGAGCACATAAGCACATGTGTGTCACTGTGTAAATGTGTGTGTGCGGGTTTGTGTGTCTGCGTGTGCCATTGTATTAAGCCTGTAATCTTGTATCAATGAGTGTTCCTGAGCCTGGTGCCAGCTTTTTAATTTCTCTCATTTTGGGCGTATCTTAACCAAGGCAGATTATTCCAATTATATTGTCTCTCTCTCTCTCTCTTTCTGTGTGTGTGTGTGTGTGTGTGTGTGTTTGAGAGAGAGTGAAAGAGAGAAAGAGTATCAGTGTGACACTGACAAAAGGCGACTGTGAAAGACTTCAAGAAAGAGTGAAAGGGAGCTGGCGAGTGCTAGGATGACTGTGGAAATTCCCACTGACTCCACAAGAGTAGTCTGTTTGATCAAACATCCAAACAGCCGTGTGCTCCTCTTTTTCTCCCACTCATGTTGTAGTGGTGACCTCACCCAGGCCACTGCCAGCTATTTTTCTCTGACGGAAGTCAAAATATATACCCTGTATGCTCCCAAGTTGATCACACAGTCAAGTCCATAATGCATAGCGTGAGAAAGCCGTTGCATGTTCATGTAGCTGGAGGGAGTCGAGTGGAGGAACCAGGCAACTATGGGAATAATGTGTGTTACATAAAATTACTGTTAAATGAAAGCGACTTTCTTTCACATTATCATCACTTATTTTTTCTGCATAAACTCAGATATGCTTGTGCAACATATTAATCATTATTTTGGATGTGTTTGTGTCAGTGTTTAACTATCATATAATAAAATATTGCATTGATTTATCTAAGAAAGCCATCATGCCATGTTTTTTAAAGCGTTTAGTTTTGAAATGTTGCTCTGTATGACACTAGAATCCAGGTTTAATCTTTTGAGAGTGCCTTGGTGAGGACAAGCACACAGCGACATGCATGCATGCACATTTTAGAGACTTGGAGCAGGCATGGAGGGTATATGAGAGCATACTTCAGATACTGAGCCATTGTGTGTAGTGCAATGTAGTGGTGGACTTCCAGGCATGACGTCATTTTTGTTTTCAGTGATTTTGGATTATGAAGACAATGAATGACCACCTGTTTTCTTCATCTCCTTCTTCCTTTCCAGACTGCGCTGCAGAGAACAGACAAATGGAAAAAGAGCAGAAGATATAGTGGAGGACAAAATATTCGAACAGTATCTTAAAAGTACAAAAGAGGAGCGTCACATCTCTGCAGCACTCTGTAAACTGTGAAGAAAAGATGAGACCGCTGAAGAAAAATAGAAGACTTTCTCCTCCATTAACTAGAGGCAGAGGGGGGAAGAAAAGGGGAGGTTCTCAACCCCTTCAAGAGAAAGACTCCAAAAGAATCAAGAAGGACATACTTGGCAAAACCACGCAACATGCACCAAGCACTCTCTCCAAACGCAAACACAGCCCGCCGCGCACTGCCGCCATCTCACATAAAGAACCTATAACAAACAGCAATATCAACAAGAGGGAGGAGCCTACTGAGCTAAAGAAACCTGTGGAGTCTGATAAAACGGACAGAAGCAAAGCAGAGGAAAAAGAAAAGGAGAAATTAGCAGGCACAATTGGGAATAGTACTAACGCTGTACCATCACCAACCTCTGCACCAGCAGCACTTTCAAAAACTGCACCCTCACAGTCCAACATCCACAGCCCCAGTTTAGGCTCAGTTTCAAGTAGGAAAACAGCCACTTTTAAGGCCCGTGTACCCAAGAAAAATTACATATATGAACACTTTGCTAAAAATGCAAGTATTACAAATAGTATTTCTACCTCTAGCTCTGCATTCGTAATTAACAATTACGACAGTACCAACAACAAAGTTGATGATAGTGTGAATTCTCCCAATAATAATTTCAAGACTAGTAGTATTAGTAATAGCATTACTAAAAGCATTAGTATGAGCACCAATAACAGTACTCTCAGTAATACTACAGGTAGTATTAACAATACGACTAGCATTAGTAATAAATGTGCTGGGAGCAATAGTACTATTCTAAATAGCAGTAATAGTGTAAGTGATTATTGCTTAGGTAATCAGCCATTAGTGATAACTGTGGACAGTAAACTTACAGGAGTGAACCATTTTGTATGTATGAAGGATAAAGCCCTCAGGACAGCAAACCCCCAAGAAAAAGACTCACCAGCTGGTGAAAATGAATTGGAGGGAGCACCTAACTCAGTACGCTCCTCCTCCACAGATACAGCTAGTGAACACTCTGCGGATCTGGATGTGATTGAGACAACAGGACCAAATATTAATCAGAACTGTCATATCGTAGCGCCTCTCCTTAACTCCCACTTCAAAGAGGACAGTCTCTCAGAAGGGCTAGCTGAAGCTCTGGCGAAAGGCATGAAGAACCAGAGAGTGCTGGCTCGCCAAATAAAGACGACCATGAAGACTGTCTGCAGTGGAGACTCACGCCACCAATCTTTTGTGTTTAGACCTGGGGTGGTTCGTAGAGTGACTAGAGGTACTGTTGAAATTCAGCTCCAAGGAGAGGAGACCCTTGTTAAATACCCTTTTTATGATGGAACCACAGTGACGCCATTCTCAGAAGTTGAAACAAACGTGGACTTCATTTTAGACGCCCCTCCACCTGGTATGTTACCTGTGGCTCTTGGGACCCGAGTATGTGTACCGTTTAGTGGAGAGGAAGGGAGTCCTCTGATGTACAGAGAAGGGAATGTTGTTCAGGTGGACCCCCATCCCGGTGTCTCATTTCCCTACCAGGTGCTTCTAAAAGAAGACGGAAAAACTCTGGGAGGTGGGGTTGGTCAGGCTGTGTGGGTTTCCCGACAGAGCCTGAGACTACTCACCCCTCCATGGGAGGTCTCACAGTTAGATGGTGGGAGGGCGAAGGAGAGTGACCGTGAGAGGGAAAGGGAGGAGAGGGAGCGGAGGGAGGAGATGGAGGTAGAGAGAGAGGTCTGCCAGTTAAGTAGTGGAATGGGAATGCTGGGAGGTGGAGCAAGATTGAATCATGGATTCTCACATGCAGTTGCAGGAGGACATTCTTATGGAAGTACACATCCACCCAAAACTTCCTGCACTGTAACTACTGGTGTAGTGGCAATCACAAGTCACAAATGTGGAAATAAATTATCTGACAGAGAGAGACAGAAACAGCCCAATACTCCAGAGGAGGATGTTGAGGTATCTCAACTTAATATGGCACATAAAATTGCTCCAAAATTAAATGTTGGCATCTCACAGCACAGAAACATTGTTTCCAAGTCTAGTGGATACCCTCCCACCTCCCCTCAGCTATCTTTGGTGCGGGGTGTAGGCCCACCCCATCTCTCTACCATCACCTGTCCTCAGCCAGCCCCCTCTCCTGCCTCACTGACAACTGAAATAAGCAACAGCACTTCAAATCTACCTCCATTCAAAACCACTCCCACACAGACTCCTACTCCCACTTCTGGTGTGGGGTCTTCCTCGGCCTCCTCTCATTCCAGGACTCCCCTTTCATTAGCGCAGCAGAAATACAAAAAGGGTGATGTGGTATGCACCCCTAATGGTATCCGTAAGAAGTTTAATGGAAAGCAGTGGAGGAGGTTGTGTTCCAGGGAGGGTTGTATGAAAGAGTCCCAACGTCGGGGATACTGCTCTAGACACTTGTCCATGAGGACCAAAGAGATTGAGGCTGCAGGAGGTGAGAAGGGAGGAGGGGGCAGCAGTTCAGGAACAGTCACCCCTTCAGACCTTCAAGGGAGAACAAGCAGTGAGTTTGAGTGGGATGACACATCAAGAGAGGCCAGTGAAACCAGTAGCAGAGTAGACTCCAGACCACTCTTAGTCCTCCCTTCGCTCCTTCCTCATGAACTGTCGTCACGGTTTGATTTTGATGAGTGTGAAGCTGCCAATATGCTTGTGTCGTTAGGAAGCTCTCGCTCTGGCACGCCATCCTTCTCCCCCATCTCTAATCAGTCTCCCTTTTCCCCTGCCCCCTCTCCCTCACCCTCGCCACTGTTCGGTTTCAGGCCGGCAAACTTCTCACCTATTACTGCGTCCCCGGTCCTGCAACACCGGAGACACAGGCAGCCGAGTGGCACAGGGGGAGGAGGGGGAGGGGGCAGTAAACCAACGACCCAAGCTGGAGGAGGAGAAAGGGAGAGACACACTTCAGGTATCCAGTCCTCCATCCACAGTAATCTGACATTTACAGTCCCCATGAGTCCCAGCAAGAGAAAACCAGATGCACTCCCTCCACCCCCCCTCCCCTCACACCACCACGATTATACACCCAAAACAGAGCTGGAACAGGGAGACCTCAACAACTCTTTCAGAGTGCTGTCCCCCCAAACTCCACACTCCCGCACACACACGCCAACCTTCCCCCAACCCAAAGGACTGAACACACCCTCTTCCAGCAGGCCCCCATCCTCCACTGCTGTCTCACCCCCTTTACTGCTGGTGTCCCCAACTCCTCCTTCTCCTCGCCTGGTCCCCATATCCCAACAGACCTTGCGTGACTCTCCTGTCATTGTGAGGAATCCTGAGGTCCCACTGGCAAAATTTTCAGAGTCTCCCTTAGACAGAGGAGGAGGGGGAGGTAGAAAGATGGAAGGGACAGATATCACCTCATCTAAAGACATTGCCCTAACTTCCCTCACTGGTCAACCTGTCACTGGCCTCCAAGTTCCTGTCCCAATTAATGCAGCTGCAGCCACAATACCCAACAGTGGTACTGTCTTCCTGCAAAGCCCTGCCCAAACTTTGGTACTTGTATCCCCAACACCTACTTCTCTGCCGCCCGCTGACACCCCCACTACCCCACTCCAAGCCCTCTCAGTTACGGTCAGCGCAGCAGTGACAGCTCCCGCATCAAGTAGCACGGACAGTTCTGGAGAACGAGAGGACAACAGGGGTACTGGGTTTGGTGGTGAGGTCCAGCAGCCAGTTCCCTGTCACCCCTCTCCTACTGCCCTACTGCCCCTGATCCTTCCTGCAGAAAGTCTGCACCCTGTCCCTCGAAAAGAGATCATCATGGGACGTCCTGGCACAGGTGAGAATTGGTGTGTGCGTGTGTGTGTGTGTGTATTTTGTATGACATTAAATAAACGAAGAATAAACATTTTGGTCAGCGGAGAAGTTTTGAAGCAAGAACAAGACCGCAACAGAAAAAGTAGAAGCTGTGTTAAACAAACCTACTGAATAATGTGTGCATGCTGAAAAAAACAACAAAAAAAACCAAGAAAATAAAAAGATAATTTTGTAAAATTAAACAATAACCATATCAGTGGCTATTTATTCAGGCACAATCAGTTGAAAATTGAAAATAATTATACATAATGCTGAGAAAGTGCCTAAAGCTGTACTTCCTGTGTGATATCTATATAAATTGTTGTGTTAACCAAATAAATATTTGAACGGTGAAAATGCTCATAAAGTATAAAATATACTGTAAACCTAGAAAGAAAAAAAATTACACACACACTTGGAGTAATACACATAAATTATTTATGTCTCTTAGCAGTTAAATTGTAAACTAGCAAAAATGTATTTCTTAGGTAAGTCTGCTACATTTAAAAAAATAGTGTTTGGCTTTATTATAAAAACTTCCTATCCATATTCTGTCCTCATTTCTCCACAATACACAATGTAAATTTAGTATTTTCAACAAAATCTTCAAATTCACTAATAATGTTTACCATTCTACCTGCTGCGATGTTTCATTTGTATTTTCCTGTGCCCTGATAAGTAACTTTTACTAGAAGTGGTTTCATCAACCATATTCTGACGAATCGGAGACTTCGGAGATTTAACAGCTCGTGTGATCAGTTTTAGCTTTGCTTGGTGTTTCCAGCAGGCAGGAGGGAGGTGTAATGATAACTGGAGGGATCGACATATGGGACAACCGCATGTCAGTTAACAGTTAAAAATGCACAAGTCTAACCCTGTATTACACTCCCTGTCAAAAAAAAAAAAAAAAGATTCAGTTTTTGTATAGATATTTTTAATTTAAATACAAAAAATGTGAATGAAAATATATTTTAGGCTAAAATAGACATTTTATGAATTAAATACAGAATATTAATGTGGCTGGCATTTACTAATCAGACAGACATTATCTAATATTATATTATTAATTATATTATTTCGATTCAGAATGTCATAAAATCATTTTATTTGCTATGTATTAAGAAATATTTTGAAATCTAAAAATAAATGTGTGTGCCTGCGTGTGTGTGAGAGTGAGACGTATAAAATGCAGCAACAAAAAGGTGCATGCACTGGCATGCATGCTGTGCTGTTTTAGTATTTTCTATAGGGATTATCCTCGACATTATAGAGGATTAGCTTTGTCGAGATCTGAGAGTTTCTCTAATGTTTCCAGTTGTTACAAACAACGCTAATAATTATACTTCAAAATATATGCAAGATGCAGTGAAACCGCATGGATTTGAAATAAAAATGAAACTAGGAGATTAGCTAAAACAAAAAGAGTCATTCTGAAGGAAAAGTAAAAAATAAAGCTGTAAAGGAGGAAGACGTGTTTTCGAGCCTTGAATCAGTGCTACACAACAAACGAACATTTAGAGCCAAAAGCAAAAATGGGTTTAGAACGTGTGGGCTAGAGGAACAGTTGAAGCCTTTTCTCCTCAACTTGGTTTAGTGTGTGCACTTTACAGCAAAAGGAAAACCTGTTTAGAACAGAACCAGAATAACAGAGTTGTGTGAGTGAACACCGACATCGCAGGGAATAAGAAAAACACGAAGGTTGAACTCAGACACATGTGATGTGTAACTCTCTGATGAACGGGCTCATTTTGTGAAAAGTGTGGTCAGCGTCTTGACTCTCCCAAGTATTTTTCTTACTCATTGTAAACTATTTCCGCTGACTCTTGTGTGTTTGTTTCATAGTGACTTGATAGTGGAACAAGGTGTACAAAGCCTCTGTGGTCAACTAAACTGAAGCAGGATGATTCTGAATTGTCTGTGTGTGTGTGGGTGTGTATCATATATGCTATAAGGTTTTATTGGTTTATGTGGGTGTGTAAAGAATTTGTTTCTCAAACTCTTGTGTGCGTGTGCATGAGAGCTGAAAAACGATGGGCCTCCCAGTTTTGTTGTTTATATTTGGTGTCAGTCAGGATAGTTCACGTCACCTTTTGCCCTCTCACTTTTTGTGTACTCATCTTTGTGTGGATGTCTGGGCCTCCCTGCTCAAGCTTCTGCCCCCGCGACCCGACTTCGGAATAAGCGGAAGATAACGGATGGATGGATTTTTGTGTGGACGTTCACAAGTGTGACAGAGAAGTGGACAGGAAGGGGAAAGAAGCAGTGTCGTTTTAGTATTCGCTTCCTCCTCAGATCCGCTTCTTGCATCTGAAGGAACGTTGAGTGAATGAATAGTAGTTCTTTGTGTGAGTGCACGCACGCTTGACTGTGAGTAAGAAGTGCATTAATCACACATTTACTGTTTGTGAGTGTCAAGTTTGTGCAGATGTTAGTGTGTTCCTATCAGCTTGTGAGGAACAGTTGGCAACTAGTTGTAATGTCTTTGAGGGTTGTAGGGTTGTTTTATGTTCATTTAAATTATATTAAAATTATCTTTGCAGATAAGATAACACCAAAAGGCAAAGATAAACTTTGATTTGTTTGCACGTGCACGTGTTTGTGTGTGTGTTACCAAAATATCTCAATAATCACTGGACAAAGTTTAATGAAACTTTCAGAAAATAATCATTTACATCTGATTAGCTTTTGGACTCAACCCAATTTTGGATGGCTGACACTTTAGCCAATACAAACTGGATATCAGTGAATTTTACAGATATCGAGCTAAAATTTGGTGTGGTAGTAACTGAGACTGTTCTCCAACACATATTGAATGTGTTAACACATTGCACAAAGTATTTTTTCTTTTTATTTTGTCATAAACCATTTGGAATCAACTCTGTCTTTTAGCAAAATATCTCATGAACCACTTGACAGATTTTAATGAAACATTTACAAGAAAATTACTGTATGCACATCTACGCCATGGACTTTTGCAGTCAGTCCAGTTCAAGATGGCTGCCACAGCTAATCAAACTTAGCCTTTTATAAAACATTTCTAATTCAGTCATTTTATAGATAGTGTCCTAAGATTTGTTGTGGTTGTTGTTAAATCATTCACAACACAAATTGTGAAATCTCGCATGAGATTACACATAATGGTCTTTTCAAGGTTTGACAAAATGGCAACAACTCTTTCACAACCCAACATCTCAATTTAAAACTTTAGAAAAAATTTAGAAAAGGCAACGTGTGCTTTGCATTCTTATGGAGTGCTGAGCCTTTAATTTAATTTAAAAAAATACCTACTTAAGTACTGCTGTCTGTTTTTGTACAAGGTATTTTATTTAACAAAATTAAATGGAATTTTGTTTTACACTTTATGTAAAACTAATATTAGAAACTTGTCTTTCTATCTGTATGTTGATGGAAGTGATGATTCGGAGCACCCTGAGCGTCAGTATCAGCATAAATTTGGTCTGAATAATCAGAAAATTGCACAGAAGTGTTGAGGAGGAGGTAAAACACTGAAGCATCTTCACTGACTAATGTTCGAGTTTGTCAACAAATCAGAAGTAAAGACTTGTTTTTTGTTTGTTTGTTTGTTTGTTTGTTTGGTTTATACACACACACACAAATATATATATATATATATATAT